AAAATCCTAGGCATTGAACCCTGGACTTATTGCAGACAAAGCATGTATTTTTTACTAATGGATTGTTTATAATGTTATCTGTTCCATTGGTTTTAGGAAGTATATCTTTATTGCTGAAGCTTCAAGGTGACTAACAACTGCAAATACAACAAAAGAACAACAAATAAGATCAACAAAAGAAAACGTAGGACACAACGTACACACAGCTGAAGGTTAGTTAAAATTCAGAATAAGAAGGACTTCACCTATGTTAAAGACATTTTATTGAATGTTGTATGGGTGACTTACCAATCTAATAGTAAAATACATATAGTAACTAATGTGAAACAATTGAGAATGTGATATTTTAAACTGAATCACTAAAGTTAGTTAAAAGTGTTAAAAGGCTAAAAGCCAAGAAAACTGCAAAAAAAAAGGAGCTTGTTCTAGCACAGTGGTTTTCAACCTTTTTAATGCCGCGACCCCTAACCGGTTGTAAGTCGAGGACTACTCAACCGGTCGTAAGTCGAGGACTACTCAACTGGTGCAGCACCGTTTGCAGAATGGGACTTTTGGCGGGCTCAGCAGGGCAGAGACAGCCTGGACAATTCCTATTGGCTTTTGAAAGCCAATAGAATTAGACTCTATTCAAGAGAGTCTATTCTATTGGCTTTCAAAAGCCAATAGAATAAAAGGGAGTAGCACAGCTAAGGAAAAGGGGAAAAAAATGGTGGACTGCGTTGTTTGGCGACCCCCGTGAAATGGTTGTTCGACCCCAAATGGGTCCCAACCCACAGGTTGAGAACCACTGTTCTAGCATATAGCTATGTCACTTCATTTGGCAGGGAAATTTGGAACAATTAGTCAAAAAAGGATTACAGACACATATGGGAAAAGATAACATACAGGAAAGTTCAATACTGTTGAACACTTTAAATAACGAATATGCAGGACAAAATTTCATAGCCTGAACAGAAGCTCCTTCTTTGCAAATGGGAACGCTGCCTAGATGTTGATAATATGATGTTGCTGTGCTGTATTTCTAACGTCCCTCAGAACGCATGCATAATGTAACTTTACTCGCTTTTATAGGTCTGCTCCCATGCTTCTACAATATATTAAGTGTAATCTCTCACCACTAAAGAGCTGCTCACCTTGATCTGGCCAATGAACAGCCTGAAGAAGATGGGGGGGGGGGAAGGGAGCAACACAAGTTTAAAGAAACAATCTTAGGAAAAACAGAGGCAGAATAGTTTTTTCCGTAAAGAAGCTGTATATGTCTGTGAAGAACTTTGTGTCCCTGAATGTTGAAATACTGTTGAAAACATCTGGATAAGATTAACAGGAGTGAGAAAAAATATGTGATAGCATTGTGGGAGTTTACTATAGGTTACCTAGGAAGGAAAGGCTTTTTCTATGCTTAGGCAAGCTGGTGCAGCCTTACCTAGATGGGGAGGTCTTGCAGAAAATCTCTTGGGCCCTTGGGGCAGAGATAGCATAGTAAGAAATCCAGTTATGCTGACAGAGAGCCAATAATGCTGACTAAGACTGAATCCTCAGATCTCTAAATCAAATGAATATTTAAAAAAAAAATTCTGGCAATGATATTATTCAGGCCTTTACTAGGACTGAATTTCATCCCCTCTCCTGTTTAGTAAACCAGTTTCCATTTTTCTTTATGCTGACAGTGTTGCTATTCTGTGGCTCTACGACACCTGCATTTCATTATCAATCCAAAATGTTGGAAATCAACCACATAAAAACCAAGGTGCCACATTAACCACCCCCCACATTTGGAAAACTGACAATCTTTTCCCAGAAACTATTCTTCAAGCCTCACCCTACATGCCCAAATAGCTTGGCACGCAATAATTAGACACATAGCCTATGGGGGCAACAACTCTCTTCCTGCAGCAGGTGAACTTTTAAAACCTCAAGTGCTAAGTATGGTGCACAGTGTTGGGCTTATAAGGACACATATGCATTAGAAGCAGTGCAGTTTAAATTGATGAGATCTCAAGTCCCTGCTCTGTTGCCAAGGGATGTCTCCACCTAGAGTCTGATGCATTTCCGCCAAGGGCCCTTTGAGCATGCTGCAGGTTGAAGTATTAGCTTAAGTAAATTGTTGAGGGTGGCTCTTTAAACCAATTAGTATTGACAGATAGACATCAGTCTCATTGGAAGAAGGAAATGACCGCTAATCTGGATTACTGTGGGCTCAACCATCATTTTATTTGTGTTTGTATCCATTTGTTCTGGGGAAAATAGGAGGAGGAAGGAGTGTCATATGTTTGCCACTTTGAGTTACAAGTAGCCCTTGACTTACGACCACAGTTGAGCTTAACATTTCTGTTGAGACTGAGACAGTCGTTAAGTTAGTTTTGCTCCATGTTATGACCTTTCTTGCCACAGTTCTTAAGTGAATCACTGCAGTTGTTAAGTTAGTAATACTGCTGTTAAGTGAATCTGATTTCCCCATTGACTCTGCTTGCGAGAAGATCACAAAAGGGGATCACATGACCCCGGAACACGGCAACTGTCATAAAAACAAGTCAGTTGCCAAGCATCCAAATTTGGACCATGTGACCATGGGGATGCTGCAATGGTCGTAAATGTGAAAAATGGTCATAAGTCATTTTTTTTCAGTGCTGTTGTGACTTCAAAAGGTCACTAAGCAAATGGTTGTAAGTCGAGGACCACCTCTGCTTCTGAAGGTAATAAAGTTGAGATTTTTTTTAAAAAAAGAGAGCAAACAAACAAACAAGCAGAGAATCAATGAGTTTCCGGTACCTGAACATACCCCTTTACTAAAGAGAAGAGTGTGGACCCTTCTGAATTTAGCTCTTCCCAGGAATCTTTGGCTGGGTGGGTAAGAGAAATAAGCGTGAGAGTTACAGACACCGTAGTCTTCAAAGCAGGGGAATTTTTATTGTTTTTATTCTGAAACCATATTCTAGTAGCCACAAATAAAAAGGCGAAGAAAAGAGAGAAAAGCATTTAATCACAATATTTTAAGATTTCATTTTCTATGGAATTCCCCACACCAGATGAAACTAGGCAGGCAGGTAGACAGACAAATTGATAGACACAAGCAATATATAAGGCAATATATAAGGGATGGCATATGTAGCACTCATTTTTGTGTCTGCATTCGTGCCCTAAGTGAGTTGCCATTGCCTTCTGCTGGTTATGTGGCTTTTTAATTCCTTCATCATTTGTTTTACCATTGGAATTATGAGTCCCTTCACACCCATATACCCCATTCATCAAAGAAGTTATCAGGGCTGACTCCGCTTAGGAGTTATGAGACCAGCATAGGTTGGCTAGTTGCTGTTATCTGCTGAGGCTTTTCCTGATGTTCTCCTGTTTCATGTAGGTCAATGGCAGGGTGGACAGCTTGCGGTGTTCCACATTTTCTTGGCCTCAAAATCATGCCATCTCTGAACATTGATCATGATAGCTAGGAGCTTATGAGAGTTGAAGTCCAGCAATTTCTAAATAGGTGCAGCTCACCAACCTTTAGCCTACATCAGTGGTTCTCAACCTGTGGGTTGGGACCCCATTTGGGGTCAAACGACCCTTTCACGGGGGTCACCAAACAACGCAGTCTGCCATTTTCCCCCCCTTTTTCCTTAGCTGTGCTACTCCCTTTTATTCTATTGGGTTTTGGAAGCCAATAGAACAGACTCTCTTGAATAGAATCTAATTCTATTGGCTTTCAAAAGCCAACAGGAATTGTCCAGGCTGTCTCTGCCCTGCTGAGCCCGCCAAAAGTCCCATTCTGCAAACGGTGCCGCACCAGTTGAGTAGTCCTCGACTTACGACCGGCTGGGGGGTCGCGGCATTAAAAAGGTTGAGAACCACTGGCCTACATTTATTTCATGGAAATAAATCTGGAGAGACATCTATGTTACATGTTTTATAATAGAACGCTGACTCCACTATTACAGTTCATATGCTTTCCAAGACTACATACATACAATCCCTCTTTTTAAAAGGAAAAGACTACATGACTCAGATGTCAGTGTCTCCAAATTTCTGCACAGGATATTAATATTTTATTACATTTTGTACAATCTAGAAGAGAACTATATACCCAGTTTTTCCAAATGGAAAAAGAATATTTCACCATTCAATGAATGGTAGATTTCATTCTTTTGTTATAAAAATATCATTATAAATCAGTATGTGCCCACACATCTAGGTTGTATATCCTGCTTCCCAACTGAGCATAGATATGTATCCTTTATTTGTATCGTAATTGCAAATATCAGGGCATCTGAATTTAAGTTTTTATTAGTTGTATCATGCTCTTCAAGTATTACTTTTCATCGTCCTCTCTTTCCAGCAACTGTACAAAAATAAGATAAGGAAATCCATTTAAAATATCCAGGCAGTCAGACTTCTGAATTTTCCTGTGGCTTTCTTGATTTAACAATAGATTCAACAGAGAAGATAACTTCAGGAACAAAGTTTTCCTCTGCATGCTTAGAACAGGATGTATCTGGTGGGCTACGGCAAACTCATTATGTTAAGCTAGTTTGTGGTAATGTGGGACTCAATATCTTATATGCGTGGTTTAGTCCAGACTAAGCCATTTTATTTAGTCTTAATGGAATTAATAAAAACCAGTGGGATTTCTAATAGGGAGAGTTATTTTTGTTTCAATCCCATTCTTGAATAATGTTATCAAAGTGGAGAGTGATGTAGATTTAATAGAAAAAATACAGAATATCTGCTTAAATTAATGTATATCTTAGACGTTCAATTAGAATGTCTAAGAAGGAATGGAGAAGACTTTTAGAGCAGTGGTTCTCAACCTTTCTAATGCCGTGACCCCATAATGCAGTTCCCCATGTTGTGGTGACCCCCAACCACTTATACATCATGGGGCGCCAGGGGCGTGGCCAAAGAAAAAGAGGAAAAAATGGCGGACAGCCTTGTTTGGCGACCCCCGTGAAATGGTCGTTCGACCCCAAATGGGGTCCCGACCCACAGGTTGAGAACCACTTTTTTAGAGGGAAATCTTGGCCAGCAGCTGCAAATCAGGTATTAAAATTGCCACTCCTAAAAATTGTTATAATATCAAATTCTTCTGTAAATACTTTTTGCAGGGGGAAAGAATTATGGAGATGTTCACAATTTATTTAACTCATCTCATCAGATGTTTGTGAATATATGTTCTAAGGCTGATTTATGGAATTCAAGATCACAATCACAATACAGCCTTTAAAACCCTGCAGAAAATGTGATTTGGATAAACTATTAACCTACCTTTCTCTATGCACACTGCACTTGTGAGAAAATGCCAAGAAGAATATATATTTCACATTTCTAGCTGTCACCTAAGCCTGATGTTGTGAGCTGTGAGAGATCGACTGGCCTCAAATCATCTAGCCAGCTTTTTATTACTGTAGAGATAATAAGTCCTAAGAAAAAAAAGAACATAAACTGAAAATGGAGCTTCTTTAAATGGAGGGAACAAAACCTCATCCTTACCACAACCCTGCATTTTCAGTCTATATACTCTGCACACTGAAATCCAATCGAATATAAAAAATGAAATCCTCTTACATTTTTGACTTTCTCCCCAGGGGTGATCACACAGACTGACCAAGCTATTTTTTAAAGAAATAGCCTTGAAAGAGAAATTTCAAAACTAAATGTACAAGATGGAGACAGTCTGCAGCGTTTGCTATTACCATCTTTATAAAATGTTGCCAGAATGAGGCATAAAGCATTTTATTGAACAACGTTCAGCTTTAATACAGTTAACTTTGAAATGGTTTCAAAGTTTCTGCTACATTCTCCAGAACTGTTTTCCTCAAGTACCCAGTCATGAAATATGTTTGGATCATAAACAGCCTCTATATTTTTCTCCTTCTCCCCATGAACTGATATGGAAAGCATAGATGACGCTGGGCTGGTCACTGCAGCTGTTTCTGCTTCAGTAAGATTGAGTCATCCCCAAACAATGTGATAACATTTAGCAAAGCTTTGGGTGAGCAGCAAAACGGCAGAATCTGAAGTCTAAGCGGGCATGCAGTACCTTTTTACTGAACCAAGTACAGCCAATTCAAGACAAGTTAAATTTCAGTTCTGTGAATCCAATTCCTCTGATTGCATTCAGACTGATTTCTATGGACCACAATTAGCTTAAACCCAAGGGTAAAAATGGATATGACTTCACAATTAACAAAAGTAATTTGAAAGACAGTTTGATTGTGCTGTTATCACAGTGGTTCTATTGGAATTAGTTTAAGAAATATGCTTTCTTCTGTTCATAACTTTTTTTTTTAAAGGGTTTGATATAAAGTTGGCACTGGAGTAGTAAGGTGAAAACTGGGTGGACACAAATGCAGATGTGTTGCTTAGAAAAAATTACCACTTGCTTCCTAGGCAAGAATGGAAGGCTGATCTACAATCAACTGACCATCCAGCATGTACATAAAGTGGATTGCAAAGTCAAATCCGTCATTGTTGTCAGAGATAAAATCTTGATAGAATTACTCTTAAAAGATTTTATTTCTAGTTTCACCCCTGTAGTTTTGCAGTTGTAGTAGTCCTCTTGCGAAATGTTAACATGAAAAATTATCAGTGTACAGCTTTTAATAATTTCAGTTTCAATGTATATCTTCCCTTTCCTTCCTTCTCACACCAAAATCACCTCATTGACTACAGGCCCTCCTTGCTTCCTGCTGCCCTGGTCTCTCCCTGATCTGATACCCAAGAGTAATTATCTGTGACATTCTTAGAATTTTTCTTGACTTCCTTGGCTTTTATTTTCCTGTAGATGACCCACCCTAGGGCAAAAGACACCAGGAATAAAACGCCCACACCACCCAAGATATAATATAAAAAATGCTTAGAATCATGACTCTTCTTATCTATCCTCTGATCTCTGATCCGGGGTTTGTTCTCCAGTGCAGTGCTGACCACAGCTGGTTGAAGGGTAGAATCCTGGGATGCAAAGACTCTTTCTAACTCAGCTTGAAGTGAAGGATCAGTCAGCAGGGCTGGTAACTCTGAAGCAGGATGAATGTCTGTTGGGATCCATTCTCCTCCCTCAGTGGGTGGCGAAGAGGTGCTGCTTGTCGGATCCAAGAGACAAGAGATACCATTGGGTGCCAAAATCCAGCCAGCCATACAAGAGCACCGGTAGCTGCCAACTTGATTGATGCACGTATGTTCACAAAGGTCTTCCTGACACTCATCCATATCAAGACAAGAAGAGCTATTAATACCTTCCAACTGGTATCCTGGCTGGCAAGAGCAGTGGAAGGAGCCATGAGTATTTACACAAATCTGGTCACATGGTGTGTTCCTCGCACACTCATCAATGTCTTGGCATGCCTGGTGGTCAGACTCAGCAGACATATAGCCTAGGTTGCAACGACATGTGAAGGACCCCTTGGTATTCACACATATTTGTTCACAAGGACTTTGAGGTGCACCACACTCATTCACATCAATGCAGCTCCGCTCATCATCAGCCAAAATATAACCAGAAGCACAGAGGCATTGGAAACCACCAGGGTATGGTTTACACTGTCCTTGACATGGATTGGAGTTGCAGTAGTCCACGGGGACACAGGAAAGGTTATCACCTCTAAGTTGGTATCCTGAGCGGCATGCACATTGAAACAAACCCTTGCCCTGATTCAGGCACTCATGTTCACAACCCCCATTGTTGTAGCTGCAACCATAAGTGGGTGAAGCACAAAATGGACCTGGGCTGCTCCACTCAGAGATATTGCTATTTGGCTGTGGCTTGCACACAAGGAAGGTGTTAGGTATCTCCTCTCCTTGGGGTTCACATGCTACTTCAGCTGCGGAGCCAAAGGGTACAGTTTCAAGGAAATCAGTGGCTACACCAAAAGGGGTGCTGTAGCTGACCACACCTGGCCCTGCCAGTATAAGTGGACGGCACATTCCCTGGAAACTGAACTTGCACAAGAAGCCTGACAACCCGGCAGTTGCATTACCACAGAGGCTGTCTACCCAGGACAGTTCCCGAGATGAGAAGGGAGTCCCCTGAAGGGTCACACACATATTTGACAAACATGTTTCCCGGGGTTTCTGTCCCCATTTGGAGTACTGGGTGTCCTCACCTCCTGTCACCCAGCGGAAGCCCTTCAATGGCCGATGTTTCTCATAGCATTTGCCTTTCTTTCGGTGAAGCCCAATCCACAATCTTACCTCCGTAACTGTGCCAGCTTCCCCTTTGGGCATCTTGGTGAGCAGCTGTGGGACAAGCAAAGCTTCCTCTTGGCTTTTCAGAGTCATCAGGTTACCCCCATTGTCTTTGCACTTTTGCTGAGCTTCGATCCAACTGAACCGTCCTAAATTCAGTGTGTAGCAAGTAGTCCCAGAACACAAAGCTTCTACCTCTTCACTGAGCTGAGCTGTCAGTCCCAAAAGCAGCAGCTGCCAAAATACCTGCTGGAGAATCCCCATCTTTGCTGCACGAAGGAGCAACGAATGGGGCGATTTCATTGTGAGCTCAAATTCTATAAATGTCTGAAAAGCATATGCTAAGACAATAGAGCACAGCTTGTTTGCCTCCCATATCCCTTTGTCTCATTGGTTGGGTCATATGCATCCTGTCTTGGTTGAGAGTCTTATTTGTCACCGGAGACTTAAGTTTCCTGAGAGAGTTTCATTGTCAGCTGCAGCCCTAGTTGTTCAGTTTGTTTTAACCTATGGGTATAGGAAATATCCCTTTTATACCCTCTCTCAGTTTTCTTATTTTTAACCTAGTTCTTTTCCTTCATGTGAGAATCTTGGTGGAATGTACCCTGCCTCCCCCTCTCCCCCCCCCTTATAAAACTTCACTGAACTTCTAAACAAACCAAATAGGGCCTTCCAGTTTTGGAGTGGTATTTTTTAAAATTGTGATTTGGACATAAGATGCTACATCTAGATGGAAAAACATTGTGCAGGCCTTCACGATATTAACCTCTCATATTTATGATCTTTAAATAGAAATAAAACCCTTAAATAGAAATTGGGTCATGGGAATGTCTTCATTTTAAAGGCAGCCATGCTTTTTAAGGGTTCAGAACTGATTCCTATACATAAGTGTAAAATCCTCATTCAGCCAAAACTGACAGGCCAGTTTTGTTTTTATTGATTTTTTAGCAGGTTTACGATGTACAGTAAATGCTCACAAAGAATTTTCTAAATTCAGAGTTCTTAAAGTAACATTTCAGATAATGCAATTACAAAGAGCAAGCACTTTTGAGATGTGTGAAATTACATCCAGGGTCCAGACTAGATTCCGAAGTACCGCAAAACTGACAGTATGAATACCAGCACAATACTGCCTCAAGGTGACATAGATTTTTAGGAAGTTGCCTTAGTATTGAATTAGACTGTGGATAAATAATTGTTATCGACTACAGTCTTCTGAATGTGGGTCCATTACAGCTGTGTTGGATTACAACTCCCACCATCTCTAGGTGCATACAGAATGGGAATTATAGTTCAACACATGACATGGGAACAGTGTTTGCAACAGCTGCTCTACCTTAATTGGTAGAGTTTTCCAGAGACTTAGACATCAGTCTTTCTCAGTTCTGATCCATGCAGCATGTGAAGAATGACAATTTCAGAGATACAACAAAAGATTATTCTCATGACAAAAGATGCTTCCTGGAAGAATATAAATTTCCCATGTGAAATGGGTCAGATCATGCAGTTGGATGGCAGTACCAGGAGATATAAGAGAAGTGCCAAAGGAAATCTGATCAAAAACTAAAAGTGCATGAGAATTGTCATCCTTTGGAGCCATTATAGAGAATCAGATACATATTATGCATCTGGTAATTGGAGAAGAAAACAAGTTATGGTTTTCTCCTTTGTGTCCGCAGAAATTTATTGAATGGAGTTTTTCAGAGCTATTGGATACATATATCTTTAATGATCCCAATAGATATTCTGCTAATATTATGAATAGTTTGCATAATTCTTTATGGATTAAAAACCATGTGAAATCAACAAAGGCCTGATGTCCATCTCCCCTGTTTTGAGTTTTCTATTTGAGTGAGAAGGTATCTTGATCTTGTAGATCAGCGGTCTAAGGACTTTATCCTTCCAGTGATTTCTGTGATTACTGTATATTCCCTTTGTCAGGAAGAATTTTCTGAATTCTTAAAAAAGTCAGTGGTGAGACCTTCGCCTAAAAAGCCATATTTGAATCTGAAATAATATAATAAATATTGGCCCAAATCCAACATTCCACATTTAGCATTTGATGGTACTACAGTCCCAGAGGCCCTGATCCTTAGATCCAAATTTGGTATGGAAATGACCACAGTGATCTTGATGGATGATCTGTAAGGAACGCTGACCCTACTCATACATGAAGAATTCTGTGTTTTTAATACTACTGACCATAGTATTATTCTATTAGAACATGTGAAGAAGCTGCCGATTGGTTCCTTAGCATTTGATTTTTCTGGACTTTAATTGTTTCTACCCGTAACCTCAATTGACAGGTTTAGACGACACAGAGAATGGCCTTGAAGAACAGGAGGAAGAGGCTGTGGACAAATAAAAGAGTTTTGAGCCCAGGCCAAGCAAATAATGTGAAACAAATATCAGATAAATCCCTTCTGAATTCATAGACATATAAAGTGAAGGGCCCAAGGGACACATCCAGACTTGCAAGATTCTGTTTCTGTACCTGTTACAATATGGCATTGGTTTCTGAGTCTGGTCTACCTTATTGGGCTGACATCAGCTCATTTTCCTTAGCACTTTCAGTGTCCAAATCTATTGGAATAGGATGTTTCACCATTCTCTTTGCCACGTCTTTTTAGTTAGAATTAGTTATAACATTGCTAACTGTTTATATCAGATATTGTTTATGTTTCCATTTTTTTCTTGTTAGCTATCTTGAGTGCCTTCTAGAAGAAAGGTGAGGTGCAAATTGAAAGAAGAAATAGGACCAGTAAGGACTAAAGTAAATGTTACTTTTATTGTCCAATTGGCTCTCATCGGTGCCAAAAAGTACACCTTTTTCTTTGTAAGTGGAGGTGTTTTTTTTTTAATAAAAGGATTACAGCCGGAGAGAGGAAAGTTTAAAATAGTAAGTCAGATCAGTATCAAGCTAAAGTAACTTGCTTCAGATAGCACAGTAACTGAGGATGTCTAAGAGCTTTCACAACCTTTTTTTAGGCTGTTATTTTTCAAAGGGGGTTTTGAATCACGTGTTGAGAGGCAAACTCCAAATGACGAATGAGGCTGGGATAAGGCAAGGGGCAGATCAAAACTAAATGACCTTTAGAAGCTATTAAATTTCATTCTGGCTTATGTAATTACTCCCCATATATTTCATTATTTACTCCTTAAGGGTTAAGGTTCAGGGCAGGGTAAGAGTGAGGGTACCATACGTTTTGCAGGTACCGTATTTGGGCTGTAAAAATACAAACGACCCTCAGATGGCATGAGAGATACAGAAAACTGACTGTAGCAACCGGCACCCAGCACCCCTGGACAAAGTGCCAGTCTAGGAGGAAGTCCTGGAGAGGCCCTGGGAAGCATGTCTGTGTTTCTACATCAATAAGAGGAGCTGGATCTGAATAACGAAGCGACACCATTCAAAGAGTTAGTTGTGCTGTGCTGATGAGGCAATCATCATCTCATCCACCAGAATTTGTCAAGTTCTTCCAAATCAATTTGCCAGTTCTAAGGGACAGCTAGGCAGATAAGGGCAGATAATGAATCTTCAATACTAGCAAATCCAACAAAACCAGCATTATGATTTCAAATGTGATGCTTCTTTAAGATTACATACGTCTTGCAACACAAGTGTATGTAAATGAAAGCTATGCTATACATGTGATTCCATTAATATATTTAGCCCATTTGCCATCCCAGAGGGTCAGTAGAGAACTGCAGAGAAGTATAGTGATTGTTGCAACAAGACCAAAGATGCACGTGTGGGTGTATCTCTGGGTTAATACATGAGTGGTCAGTGTGCAAAATCTAGAAATGTTGCACCATAAAAAAGATGATTCAATTTAGATAAAAGTTCTATTAATAACATGACAGTTTTATGATATATTAAATCCTGATGAGTCAGAATATAACTTCAGGAGAGACGCTACAATCAACATTTCTTCCCCAACTCTCACTGATGGATTTGTTTCTCTTTGGCATTGCCATGAAATATCACTGCTTTCTACATCATGGAAATATTTGAAAAGAATCAAGCATATCTGGGGCTGATATTTCTGTCTCCCCGCTTAGCATATTTTTACTCATATTCATATACTTGTTGGTGTTCTTGAATTAGTACAACTCTTGGGACAGTTATTTCCTGAATGATCTCATATATGGATGCACGAAGAGATTTTGTAGAAATTGTGATGAAATCTCTGCTGGCAACTTATTTATTTATTTATTTATTTATTTATTTATTTATTTATGAGACTTATATACCGCTTTAAGTGCAAGCACTCTCTAAGCGGTGTACACCAGTAAGCAATGTATATATATATTTACATTGCCCCCAACAATCTGGGTCCTCATTTTACCTACCCCGGAAGGATGGAAGGCTGAGTCAACCTTGAGCCGGTGAGATTTGAACCGCTGACCTGCTGAACACAGTCAGGTAAAGTGGCCTGCAGTACTGCACTCTAACTGCTGCGCCACCTCGACAACTTGAGTTTTCTGAAACCTGAACAATGTACTGAGGCTGTTATGGTGTGATCCTAATGTCTCCTTCGTTACTTATTTCTTAATTCTGACTTGACATGAGAAAGATAGCTATCGTAAATGTTTTTATGTATTGCATATATGTATTTGTTGTCATTCCACTAACAAATATGAAAGGGGGTGAAGGAGAAATCTTCCTTTCTCATGCCCAACTCAGTAACATTTCCCTGCCGCCATACTGAAATTTGGAGAAAATTCTTCACCCATACACTGTACTCTTCCCTGGTCTTTCTCTTTTCTAAAAGATGTAAAAGCAAAGAAAATATTCCAGGGTAACCTTAAGCTCTCTAATTTATGGTAAGTGCTTATAGACAGTATTTGTGTTTACCTTGGGAGAATTAACAACAATTTCTTTTTTATTCTATTGGTGAGTTAAATTTAGCTCTAAATTAAAATAAATGTCTGTAAGATTTACCCTAGGCAAAGACTGATCTAGCCGATATAAGATTCCTCCTTCACAATCCTGCCTTGTTTCAGCGGAGTTTGCAACAGGGAACTTCCTGGATTGTGCCCCCTTGCTTTATCTTGGGGAGACAGCATATTCTCTGTAATCCAAATATATTCAGTATAGTATTGTATTCTGTACTTCAACATCCTGCTGGGATATCCTGTAGCAATCGTTTGTTTTGACTTAAATACTTATCTACAGGATCACATACAATCTCCTAAGTCACAGGAAAGGCTCAGAATGTACATTATTTATAAGAATAGAGATGTATAGACAGTTATGATTGTAGGGGTGGGGTGTGGGTGAGACTGTAAATTATAATACATTATAAACTAACCTATATATTAGTTTCTTATAGGGATAAGTTGGGCTTCAGGATCGTCATTAGACAAGGTGATTCTGTCAGGGCACAGAAGATAAACAGGTGAGCTGGTGGGACAGCATCCCCCACATAAGCAGGTGAGTTAAGGGAGGCACCAGGCAAACCACATTTTGCATTGCAAGAAAAGGTCTGTTGCTTAAAGACCACCTGAGCAAGAGAAAAAGCTGTAGGCGGAAATGAAATAGCATTCCTTTCACTAGTTTCCAAAACAGCGTGTCTGTGGCCTGGAGCACAAAAGTGGAGAAAAGGGGAGAGATGGATTTATCCTGTCTCTTATTCATTTCTGCATGTGAGCTCTTGGCTGGCCGCTCCATGTAAATAGAGTGAGGCTAGTGATTCCATCTGTGCTCAGCTGCACAGATGGAATAAATTTGCAATTTGCAATTATTTTCATTTCTTGAATGCTGAGGCCATCCACTCACACACAATTAGATTAAAACTCCCAATGCTTTGCACATGTAATCCTCAACTTACGATCACAATTGACCTCAACATTTCCGTTGTTAAGCAAGACAGTTAAGTGAGTTTTGCCACAGTTGTTAGCGAATCACTGAAGTTTTTAGTAACACAGTTGTAAAATGAATCTGGCTTCCCCATTGACTTTGCTTGTCAGAGGTTTCAAAAGGGGATCACGTGCCCCCCTGGGACATCAGTCATAAATGCATAAATCCAGTTGCCAAGTGTCCAAATTTTGATCATGTGACCAGAAGGATGCTGCAATGATCATAAGTATGAAAAAGGTTGTTAGTCATATTTTTTCCAGTACTGTTGTAACTTCAAATGGTCACTAAACAAAAGACCACCTGCATGCATGTTTTCTACATGACTTGCAAGCAGCCCCTCATGGGAATCCAGACATTCTCGCTGCATGCACAAGCTATGTGGAACCCTCATTCATGCATGGTTTATCTTTTTACAAAAATCTTTCTGAAGCTATATAGAAAAGTTTCCATTTCATCAAGGCAACTTTTCACAGGGATGACAAGAGTCTCTGAATCAAACTTGACATTCCACAAAGTTCTTTTTTTTCTTTCCTTTTTTCTTGCTTGCTTGCCTTATAATTTTTATAGTTTTTGTAATGAAGTGCAAATTATTGGACTTCTAAGAATGTTGTCAGTTTCCTACCCATAGATGGATTTGGTACTTACTCTTTCAATTATAATAAACAGACAAAACAGACCAAAAAATAATAATAACATAATGGAACTTTAAAAACTGCCTCTAAAAGAAAGTCATACTTACTATGCATGTCAAAAACAATCCTGAAGGTGGATACACATGCAATATTCCAAGAAGCAAGAGCTGATTAATTGCATGCTGATATGGCAACCAAGATACATCAAAAATTGTTCTGTCCCTCATTCGCATGCCTACAAATTTGCAGAAGATTTTTTTAATGAATGATCACAACTAAAAAAGATGAGAATTTGGCTGAAATGTACTCCAACTGGATCTCATTTGCAGTGATATACAACTTCACAGCTATATACAGTGTTATAGCTGTGTAATTCTCATCTGTGATTTAAAGCCCTCATTCTCTAAGTCAGTGGTTCTCAACCTGTGGGTCGGGACCCCATTTGGGGTCGAATGACCATTTCATGGGGGTCGCCAAACCACGCTGTCCGCCATTTTTTCCCTTTTCCCTAGCTGTCCTACTCCCTCTTATTGGTGGCCACACCCACTTGGGGGTCACCACAACATGGGGAACTGTATTATGGGGTCACGGCATTAGAAAGGTTGAGAACCACTGCTCTAAGTCAACTTCGCCCTTGCCTTATCAAACCATTCTCATACATCCTTAGTTATTGTCCCAAAGGTGCTTTTTCAAAAGACAACTGGACTTTGTTTTTCCTTGAAGACGTTTCACTTCTCATCCAAAAGCTTTGCTTCTCATGCAAGGAAAAACAAAGTCCAGTTGCCTTTTGAAAAAACACCTTTGAGACCACCATGAGCTGTATGACTGAAAATCTCCATAGACGTCCCTTTTTATTAGCCCCAAAATATGACTAGTCCAATATGACTACTTCACTATTAGTAACAATTTTTAAAAAATGGCAAAACATTTTTTAACTTAATAAAAATAGAACACTATCAGTGCACAACTAAAGCAGAGTTTGTATCTTCCGACCTAGCAGTAAGCATATTTATCTCCAATCTACATTGTTCTGTTGTAAGAAAATAATCACGTATTTCAGAAGTAAAACACCGTAGTGCAATGAGCACTTAGAATACTGTTACCGCAAAAAGGTGGACGCCCCCCTAGTTGCAACAAAATCAGGCAGCCAGAGAGACAGAAAAAAAAAATTAAGATGGCTGTTCCACCCCTTTTCACGTGTTGTTGGCAGGGTTTTAATTACATATTTGTGGATGCCATCTTGACTTTTTGTCCTATTCCAGTGCTCCTCTGCAAATGCCCCCCCCCCTCTCCTGGGCAAAGTGCTAAAGAGTTTTCTGTATCATTCTGATTCCATCGACAGTAGTGATGGAATGTGGATTTATGCATCCTGAATCTTTTAGCACTAATTTATAAGCATGTTTCAAATTGCATTTGCCCCAGCATTTTATAAGTCAGGGTTGTTGTTTTTTGTCATTTCTTGCCACTTTCTTGATTATCAATCAGAACAGATGTTATACACTCTGCACTTTGGCTCCTGGTCCAGCTTTAGATACAACACTCTCTTCAAGCAATCATTTATAATATATATCTCAAAAACAGCTATAGCCAGAAAAAATATTAAAAATAGGAACTGCTTCAAGGACAAACATGTGGAAAAGGAACAGAAAGAATAATAAATTCCATTCTGAATTGAAGAAGCCTATAATAGACTCAGAAAAGAAAAACAAACGGCTGTGCGTCACTTCAAAGATTATCCAATTTGTTCACTTTTTAAAATGGATCACAGATTTCTTTATCAGAGGCACCCAATGCCTTTCAGGGAAGTGAGACATGATCCACAAAAGCTTATTCAAGGACAAATTGATTAGACTTTGACCATTCCCTCACTAACGAATTGAAGGGTCTTTCCCACTTATGAGTTTAAGTGTTCTCCACCCAGCCTTGAGGGATCAGAAATTTGTTGTCATCAGACGATTCCTATCCTATCTTGCCTCATTTGTCTCTGGGTTCCAGTCATCACCAGTGAGTTAACTTCTCTCCAAAGTAATGGGTGACAAAGACTTTATACTCTTCAAAGGGTATCCTTGGACAGGGCCAGCATAAGAGGGAAGTGCTACTTTAATGCCGGTATAATTGGAAATGACTTAAGACTTTCTCACTCATGGGCTGGGAAGAAAATGAAGGCAGTTCCATGGAAACATGACAAAAACTGATGTTGCCAAGGCATACAGTATTTCTGCCCTGGATAGGTGTAAGTGGTGAAATGCCATAGTGTGTGTAAGCATCTTCCATCTATTACTGTGCTGCTGTTAGAGTATTCAGGAATTGATATATGGCTCATTCTTCTCTCATTCTTCTACAACTCACAGGCAACATTGCTGTCTTATAACACTGAACCTTCTCTGTGGTTTTCTCCAAGGAAGAGATCCAGATAAATAGGGTGGAGTGAGCTGAGCTAAACAGTGGGAAGCCACTCAAGTTTGAAGAACAATCTGAAACTGTACATAGGAATAATAGATGTGGAAAATCAATGCCAAATATGACTGCTGTTCATGGTTACGCTGGGAGTGGTTGCATCTGAAATAAAATCTGAACAATCTGCTGAAGAATTTAATAATTTAAAAATGCAGCATTTTTTTCATATTTGGTGGGCTGGAAAGAGCAGAATTCCCAGCTAACATCCTGGGTCTTGAAGCCCATCTTTGGGC